GGTTGGCACCGGATAAGGAAGTATGGTTACCTTTTTTTAATCCAACAGTACATATTCTTAGAACTTGTAATCCACGTATATAGGTTAACTGTTCTAGCACTTGCATTCGTTGTATTTCATGCTAATATACATTCAAGTAGTTCTCCAGTTTTTCTTTATTAAATTAGAATATATGTGAAGGCTATGCGCATCTAGACGTTAGCCTGCATGTCCAGGCCGTTCAAAAAAAAGTAGTATGTGCACCCAAAAAATGAAGTATATGGTATGAAGTATTTTTTTGTTGCGAGTATGAAGTATTCACTTTTCCTATAAAAAGTACGGAATATATAGTCAGAAGTATATAGTTTTTCCAAAAGAGAGTATGGAGTTTATAGTGTGAAACTATGTACTATATGATATGTAGTACACTTTTTTCCGGCAAAAAAGCATATATATCATATAGTACATAGTTTGAAGTATATTACTATTGGAGTATGTAGTTCAGAGAATAGTATATGTATGTTATTTGAAAATAGTATATTCACGAGTATGGAGTATGCATATATCTCTCGCTTGGTTAAGGTGCATGCTGTATACTTCTTAATTGTAGTACTAGTATGGAGTATGGAGTATCCCAAAAAAGGTGTATGAAGAATGGAGTATGTCGAAATAAGGAGTATATTGTCCAAAATAAGGAGTTGAGTATGTAGTATGGAGTATCTCCAAAAAGGTGTATGAAGAATGGAGTATGTCCGAATAATAAGTATCTTCCCACAAAAAAATTAGTTATACTCCAAGATAAGAGGAGTATTTCCAGAAAAAGGAATCATACATCTTCATACTGATCGAATATACTATAGTATGCATGTGTTTGTTCTATTCCTTTTTCACCTAAAGGTATGAGATTGTAAAATAAAAAATCTGTTGCCATACTACATCTTCAAACAACTGTATGTACTGGGTAGAACATGACTGAGCTAGATGAGAGAATACGGGAACATAACTCTAACATATAGTTTCTTGGACTGGTGGTGATGCATGCACATATACGTATACTGATCTATAATTTGAGAACCGAATTGGAATTCACTATACTGTTGGAACGTAATAATAGCTGGGTTGGGCACGTTCCAGATCATATTGGATTGATGTAGCATCCAGTGATGAGATCTTCAAGGGCGGCGGCGGGGAAGCGTGCAAGTCAATGGCAGCTGGTTGAGCGTGGCGTACGTTTAGTCTTATTGTACCACACACCATCGGACGAAGCCGTTGAGCAAACAGGAGCGGGCAGCTGTGTCGTCGTCGGTGACGGCTACATGCTGGTGACGCCATGACGCGAGGGATCTTCCTCTGGTTGTGCACCTGGCGGCTTGCGGCTGCCTTCTCGTCGCTCCTCGTCGTCACATCATCTGGATCTTCATAATCATGCTGTTGCATTCATGCAAGAACTGCAGCAGGGGTTGACGCCTGCGAAGGCAGTCGGTCATAGGTGCATCTTTGCTATGCTGCTGGTCAACAATGAATTCATATTAGATAAAAAAACAAATCAGGAAGAGTATAAAAGATTTTGTTTGCCGGATGAATATGCAACATGCATCCATGATCCTAATCCCAATCGGCTGCAATTGCTGGCAGTCGCCGTTATTTCACTGCGTCGCCGGTGGCAGAAGAATACTCTCGACGACGCCGAACCGCCATCTCCAGCCGGTGATGGAAGTGTCGCCTAGGCAGAACGCTAGATAGAGAAAAAATATGTTTGCTCTTGGTAACAAGAATATACAAACAATTCTATTTTTACGTAGAGAAAAATGCTAGGTTAGTTAGTAGGTGGATAAGGATGCCAGACGAATAAATATGAGTGCATTCAAACTTTTGGATAGGCTCACGACCAAACGGACCTGTTAACCACCAAATAAACTAATGAAAATAATTAATATCAATTCTAAACGGGTCGGGTGGAACCTCATCTAGGCACGTCAAATCAACGGTGGATTCTTAGGTGGTAACTACCACTAGGTGGTAGAATCTATTTTCCCTATATATATATATATATATATATATATATATATATATATATATATGTTTTGATGTCTACTTTCCATGTTTAACTTTTTTTGTATATACTACGAACAGTTTATGCATGTTTAACTTTTTTTTTTCATACTCATTGTATTTTTTATATATATGACAAAAAACAAATTCTATACACATTTAATATTTTTCGAATGCTTCATCAACATTTAAAAAAAATACTTGTAACATTTTTTATGTAAAGGTTTTTTGTAGTATATATATTTAGAATATCTCTAAGTATAAACAAAAGTAATAAAAAGAAAGCATCACAGGCAGCTCTGTCGAGTGTCGGTCTACATGCTACAGAACAGCAGAGCACCTGATGCAATTCGGCCTTTACCTTGATCAGGAGGCTTTGACCTACCGGCGCTTCATGCCTAAGAAGACAGTAAGCAGACAGCAGAGGACCTGACCAGATTTCTGGAACGTGTGGTAACAAATCAGAATACCTCACAAAAACGCCAGGAACAGTTAATTTCCCAAAGGAAGAAGAGCCAAGAGTTACACCCGAATGTGTCTACGTATAACAAACGCTGCACAAACTGACTAATCTCTACAAATCTGTAACTGAATTTGGTGTGGCTTCAGCCTTACACCTTCAGTTAGATTTCTGTCGAAACATCAACCGAAACCGACTCGGTTGCCATCATCGACATCTGCATCACGCACCATTCAAAAGATAACCATGGAATAACTCAGAGGGGCAACATAAGAAGGTACTACTATGATAATCAATCAATGAGATGGTCTTCATATGCGTCACTTAATACAATTTGGTTGCAAGATAACAAAAAAAAGCATCATGTGATTTGCTCCCCTGTATAGAGATAGAAGAGTAAGTTCAGGCCAATACTTCTACTACAGAGGAAACAGCAGCGAAGCACATGTGAGATGTAACAGCTAGCAATTCAAGTTCTAGTTCTACTCAAATAGAAATATGTACTACTTGATACAGGTGCAAAGCCTGTGAATAAAAATGACACTGCTGATCTCCCTATTTATTTGATCAAACCAAAATGACAAATACAAGATGAAACTTCAGAACATAGTACAAACTGAACGCTGCCTCAAAAAAAAAAAGTGCAAACTGAACGCGGTTTCTTAGTTTGCGAGTCTGAATAAAGCTGTTACAAACAAAGGAGTGTGATGAAGAATGCTGGAGAGCAGGCAAACAAGACATCAGTACATCATGGGGAAAATGCGGGGGATGGGGGCTAGAAACTTAATGGTTCTTGGATTGACTAAAGCATGTTGAGTTCAGAATATTCAGACATGATTGGACAAAATGAGAGCTTCATCTTGTTACAGAACGAAGACGGATTGAACGCATGGCAAACGCAGTGTGCTTGACAGTATGGCTGGAGAAGATGCGGAGGCATGCACAATGAAGTCCGTGTCGAAGACATTTGTTAGCTCATGCAACCTGCAATGCCATGTTGAAGGAAATACATGTTAGTGTCCCAGCTAAATGTTACAGAAGAGGAAAACGTACTTCATCCAGCTAAACGCAACTAGTGGATTGCTTGCTAATCTGAACCACGTTATATGAGATCTTATGGCAAATCCCGTCAAAAAGAAAAAGATCTTATGGCAAACAGAAGTAACAATGGCTGCGACATATTTGTGCGCCATAAGCGAAGTGACCAAGGCACAATCCACCACAATGCAGCTTTGTTGGAACTTCACATAGGCACACACATATACTGCTAGCAAATACATAAGAGTTCTGGATTGTGGAAGCAGAGGCATGCAAATGGTTCAGTCAAATGTTCCGACCAGAAAATAAGAAACACAGGGCTCATCCAGGTACAAAAATGCATATTAGTTAGAGTATAGTATACCTGATTGAGAGATTTGATGAATCGGCCTAGCACTCCATCCGCGTGAAACTGAAAAACAGAAGTGGAGAGGAATAAACACTCGGTGAGCAACCAAGAACAAGAGGGACTACAATTACAACGGAGGTAAGCCCGTGGAGTATCTACGAACCTGAACGCTGGGAGGATTTACCGATGATGGCAATACATGCTTTCTGCGACTAGTATATGTCAAAGGCAAGGATGGGATGATTGGGGTGGTGCTCCACCGCGGCCCTCAGCGCAGCCTCCGCTTCATTCGGCTCTGCATCGATAATATTAACCTAGACTCGCTGGAGGGAAGGGAGGTGCCGCATGCCCAAGTCGAAGTTTTCGCGGGAGATCCACTTGGCTGAGAAGGCAAACATAAGGTGTTTTAGCCTCGGCGCAGATCCTCGTGGAAACATAGAGGGCACGGCACCAATACCAATGAAGCGGCACACTGTCACACATGGGAATAATGCACTAGAGGAAAGTGCAGGCATTTCCACCGTATACTCTTCACATCCACAGACCTTAGAATAATCCCATATATATCTCGAGAACACAAAGAGCAGGCATCGTTCCAAGAAGCTGGATGACTTCCCACTGCACTTCATCCAATTTGATACGAAGATGGGTGAGGAGAGGAAGCGATAAAGGATTGATCCATGATGGCAGAGTACGGAACCGACTATAGACTGACCGGATTCAATCTGTGAACACGCTCTCGCGTCGCTCCCGCGGGCGGCTCGGGAGCAAACCCTAGCCGCCGCCAGCAGCAACCCACCCACCATCCTCTCCTCCCCTCGCCGCCGCCGGCAGCGGTCGCCGGGCAAAGCCCGCGCGGCTCGGCGGCGGCGGGGCCCCTTTCCCCTTCCGTCCAGAGGTGGCTGGCGCGGGCCGGTGGCCTCGGCGGGAGCCTGAGCTGCTGCGCGCGCTCGGGCGGCGCGGCTGGCCGTCGGGGCGGCGCACGGAGGCGCGGGCGCGGACCCGGTGGCGGGGCGCGTAGGTGGAGGCGCGGGCTGGGCGCAGCGGCCGCGCGAGGATGCGTGCGGCTGGGCGCGCGCGCTGGTTGCCGGCGCGGATCTGGCAGGCGGCGACCGCGCGAGGATGCGCGCGGCGAGGCGCGAGGAGGAGTGCGGCTGGGCGCGTTGTGCGGCCATGGGTGCGGCGTGCTGGCCACCGGCTCAGATCTGGCATGCGGCGGCCGGTGGTCTTCGCTCGGCGGCCCAGCGGGCAGGTATGGATGCCACGGATCCGGCCTTGGCAGCACAAGATGGGCAGTTTCTCTGCCCCGTGTTGCTGCTATGGAGTCCATGGGGCCAGAAGGAGATGGTTGCTGGCCGGAGGTCCGTGGCTGGCGGTCCGGGAGGGGCACTGGCGGCTGCTGGTGGTGCTCGGTTGTCGCCTGTTGGAGCAGGGTGGCTCCGGCCGCGGATGGATGCGGGGTGCAGGACCCGATATGGTCTCTGCAGGCCCGTCGATGAGGAGGTTTGCGGGTGGCCCGACACAGCAGTGGCGTGCTCGTTGTGTAGGGGGTGCGCGGTCCAATGGAGGTACGGGCCGACCTCGGCCTGCTGCGCGGGAGTGGCTGCACCGGGTGAAAGCCTGGCCGGTGCTGACCGGCCGGCGGCGACGGCGCCTATGGGCGTCGCTATCCTCCTTGGAGGCGTCGTCGGGAATCTTCACAGCCTTCACTCCCGGATCAAGTCCTTCGGGTGAAAGCCCAGATCCTGCTTCAGGGTCGAGCGGTGGCGTCGTCTTCAACGTCGCTCCCCTCTTTAGGGCGCCGTCTTGAAGAATTTGATCCCTTTGGTGCTTCCTACGACTGGACGTGCACGGTGGCTTCGGTGGCAACGATGATGGTGGTGAGCAACGTCGGAGGCGCGGCTTTGGTCGTGGTAGTCGGCTCTTCTCCGGCGTGTCCGTGGGAATGCCTCGACTGCCTGGTGCTGTGAAGTCGAAGCCGCGGTGGGGGGCCGCTGGTATACGATGACGCGTGTTAGGTGGCTCGTTCGGTGATCCCCGTGACGCCAACCTTGCCTCGTTTCTTTGTGGTTCATCGTCAGAGTCGGAGCTGCGTTGTCTAATGTGGATTGTTTGGAGTGTTCTGTTGCAGCCATTAGGGCTGTTCTTCTTTTTCTTTTGATCTTCGGATCTTCTGGTCCTAGGACCTTCATCACCTTGTTGTTTTCCATTGCTTTCTGCTATTATCAATGAATGCCAGCGAATGCTGGATCTTTCAAAAAAAAAGACTATAGACTGACCGGAAATCCAACTTACGGAGTTGTAAAGGGGGCACCCAATCTTTGCTCATCAAATTTATTAATTCATCTTCGGTAAATATCTCTATCTCTAGACTTTCCAATTTGTGTAAATTACCAAGTGATTCCTCCAAAGCTTTGTCCGAGGCCTCATCCAAACAATTACTTAAAACCCGGACACCCTGAGTTTGGTTAGATGACCCAATTCTTTCACAACATGGAGGTCCAGGCTAGACACCCCTAGTTGACCTAGCACTTCCAGACAAGTCAGGTTACCCATACCAGACGACAGCTTCATATTATAGTCAACATAAAGGCACATCAGACGTCTTAGCTGAAAAACACTCGACGGTAGTACTTTTATCTTAGTACCTCTTAAGTCCAAGGTAAGCAAAAACTGCAGCTTCCATATTTCCATGGGAAGGTCCTCAACATGAGTATCTTTTAGCCCTAAGTACCTCAAATGCAATAGAGTCGCCACATACCCAACATCTGAAACATCGCAACCTTCTAAATCCAACACGCGAAGAACTTGAAAACTTGAAATATCCAACACTTTCCCAACAACATTATTTGTAAAAATGGTAAAAGATCTCATGTGTGCCATCCTAGTGGTGTCCACATCGATCTTGCTATCGTGGATGGACAATCTACGGACCTTGCTTTTCAAGTTAGGCATTTTTCTACCAGTGTCATCCAATATTGTGATGAAGTTTTCTTCAACTGACAATGTGCATATGAGATCAAGTACCATGTCATGTACACGACAAGCTTCTAAGTTTTCTTCCTCTTCACCATTAGTGCCTATTAGCTGGATCATACTTCTATTAACTAGCTCACTGAAGTAGCTATTACCAAGCTCATATAAGCTAGTTTCTGGTTTTGCACTATAAACAAAACCTTCTGATATCCATCTCCATATTAGCTTGCCTCTCATAATCTTGTGATCTTCTGGAAATACGCTAAGATATAATAAACAAGGTTTTAGGTATGAAGGTAGATCATAATAGCTGAATAATAATATCTTTTTCATCTCCTCTAAACTTCGATCTTCTGTGAGTCCGCGACCAATGGAATTAAGCAATGCATACCATTGATCCTTTGTTTTTCCCTGATGATTATTAGCCAAAAGACTTGCTATAGAAATAATAGCCAATGGTATGCCACCACATTTCTTCAAAATGTCTTTGGATACTTGCACCAATTCTTGAGGACACCCTTTCTCATGAGAAAATACTCTTCTATAGAAGAGAGTTCTTGATACATCGTCAGAAAGAGGTTTCATTTTGTAAATGTCATCCCTAGAAGAGCAGCACGCTTCAGAGACACTAACGATGCGGGTTGTCGTGATTAGTTGGCTTCCGGGACTCTTCTTGGAGAAAGCAGTACACTTGATTAATTTCCACACTTCTTTGTCCCATATGTCATCAATTATGATGAGGTACCTATGTGATTAAAAATTTGAATTAGTTGAAAAATCAATTTTTTTTGTAAAAACGTTTTATTTAAGTTGGCAATCCTACGGGTATGATATTTCTATGGCAATCAAACTACATGCCGTGAGATAAATAGCTTCATAAAAAAATCGCGTGCAGTAGTTGTAGTTGTAGAAATGTGCGATTGCGCCTATTGCACATTTCTAAAACTTAAGCTGCACATGTTTTTGAAATGTGTAATCCTATAATTTCCATAGGGTGTTGATTCAATGATTGAGAACATCGACTTATAAGCAAGAATACCAGGAAGATTTACTATAAAAATATACTCCCTAATTCTTACTAGAGGTTTAACACCAGGAAGATTTACTATAAACTTGCAATTAATCAACCATATGATATTATATATAAGAATTGGTGTTATAATTTTACAAGACGAAAATGTATCGATCCATAAGTACACGAAAAAACAAGCGTACCTCTTGCCATAATGGAATTCAATTGAGAACATCGACTTATAAGAAAGACTTTCTTGGTCGCCCTAAAAATATACTCCCTAATTCTTACTAGAGGTTTAACACCAGGAAGATTTACTATAAACTTGTAATTACTCAACCATATGATATTATATATAAGAACTGGTGTTGTAATTTTAGACGAAAATGTATCGATCCATAAGAACACGAAAAAATAAGCATACCTCTTGCCATTAAGGAATTCAATGAGTTCGTCAATCAGATGCTTTTCTTCCCATTCTTCATTACGAATGTGTGCATACTTCTTCTTGTTAAGTTCATAAAGAATATTTTTGAAAATTTTCTTCACGTCCGGATTATGAGAAACCGAAATAAAAGCACAACAATTGAATTGCCCTTTGATCTTGTCATATGCTGCTTTGGCAAGAGTTGTCTTGCCTGATCCACCAAATCCAACAATAGAGACAATCTTCAATGGATGATTTGACCAATCATCACCTTTTGTCAACATGTTGATCAACTCATCTCGTGTTTCTTCAATGCCGACAAACTCTATCACATCTGTGTACAGGGCCATCATGCGAGGGTCAACACTAGCACCAGCGCTTGTATCTTGCATATCTTGCTCGTACCTTTGATGTAGCTCGGCTAACTGCTTAGCTTGATGAACAACTTCTTTGAGAGCATCAGAGATCCAGTGGAGATCGTTTCTAATCTTGAATAATCCTTTGACCTTCTTGAGTATCTTCTTCACTCTATTCTCTGGGTTGGCAGGACCGCTACCATCCTCCACACGCACCCTGAAGGCGTCAACTATGTCCTCCATGTGGTAGGACAACTCCTTCACCTTTCCTGCCCAAATCTTGACTCCCTCGTAGAGTTGTTCTGGTGGCACTTTCTCCACCTTGCGGAGGGCAGCGTGCATCAACGTGAGCTCTGTCACAAGAGACTCGATGCCTTTTCTCATGCGTTTCTCCAGGGTGAAATCGCCGACAAGGAGAGCACCGAGCTTGGGGAGGAGAGGGCCGATAGCCCCCAGGGCGATCTCCATGGCAAGCTGGATCTCTCTAGCTACAGAGTGTTGTAGATGTGTTTTAAGTGGAAGGGAGCTAGGTGGTAGGGCTCTAAGGTTACAACGAAGGCACCGTGGTAATGTTCATATTGCTGTTCCAAAATGAGAAGCTATGTATAGGGCATGATTTTATTCTGTTAACCAAAAGCAAACAATGTTACTATGCACAGCTGGTCATGTGTGCAGACTCACTACCTTGTGGTCCTCTGCACAGCTGGGTCCCAGGTATCAGCTAGCTGTACTAGTACCTAACAGTGTTACTCTGGCTGCTCACGCAAGGCTCAGTCCAATCTTAGACGGGCCAGGATGCCCTTGGACTGCATAGCCAAAGTTAAATTACACGACGCAACCAATCTACAAGCGTAAACCCTGCAAACGCATTGTTGTACCAAAGAAAATAAATTAGAGTACGTAAGCCCACCTGCTCAAGATCCGAGAGAGGAAGACGAGGGATATTGGCCAAGTCAAATGCATCAAGGATGGAGCAGGCCAACTCTTGGTGAAGGACGAGGAGATTAAGCATAGATGGCGGGAGTACTTCGACAAGCTGTTCAATGGGGAGAATGAAAGCTCTACCATTGAACTGGACGACTCTTTTGATGAGACCAGCATGCGTTTTGTGCGTCGAATCCAGGAGTCTGAGGTCAAGGAGGCTTTAAAAAGGATGAAGGGAGGCAAGGCGATGGGCCCGGATTGTATCCCCATTGAGGTGTGGAAAGGTCTCGGGGACATAGCGATAGTATGGCTAACTAGGCTTTTCAATCTCATTTTTCGGGCAAACAAGATGCCAGAAGAATGGAGACGGAGTATATTAGTACCAATCTTCAAGAACAAGGGGGATGTTCAGAGTTGTACTAATTACCGTGGAATTAAGCTGATGAGCCATACAATGAAGCTATGGGAGAGAGTCATTGAGCACCGCTTAAGAAGAATGACAAGCGTGACCAAAAACCAGTTTGGTTTCATGCCTGGGAGGTCGACCATGGAAGCCATTTTCTTGGTACGACAGCTTATCGAGAGATATAGGGAGCAAAAGAAGGACTTGCATATGGTGTTCATTGACTTGGAGAAGGCCTATGATAAGATACCGCGGAATGTCATGTGGTGGGCCTTGAAGAAACACAAAGTCCCAGCAAAGTACATTACCCTCATCAAGGACATGTACGATAATGTTGTGACAAGTGTTCGAACAAGTGATGTCGACACTGATGACTTCCCGATTAAGATAGGACTGCATCAGGGGTCAGCTTTGAGCCCTTATCTTTTTGCATTGGTGATGGATGAGGTCACAAGGGATATACAAGGAGATATCCCATGGTGTATGCTCTTTGCGGATGATGTGGTGCTAGTTGACGATAGTCGGGCGGGGGTAAATAGGAAGTTAGAGTTATGGAGACAAACCTTGGAATCGAAAGGGTTTAGGCTTAGTAGGACTAAAACCGAGTACATGATGTGCGGTTTCAGTACTACTAGGTGTGAGGAGGAGGAGGTTAGCCTTGATGGTCAGGTGGTACCTCGGAAGGACACCTTTCGATATTTGGGGTCAATGCTGCAGGAGGATGGGGGTATTGATGAAGATGTGAACCATCGGATCAAAGCCGGATGGATGAAGTGGCGCCAAGCTTCTGGCATTCTCTGTGACAAGAGAGTGCCACAAAAGCTAAAAGGCAAGTTCTACAGGACGGCGGTTCGACCCGCAATGTTGTATGGCGCTGAGTGTTGGCCGACTAAAAGGCGACATGTTCAACAGTTAGGTGTGGCGGAGATGCGTATGTTGAGATGGATGTGTGGCCACACGAGGAAGGATCGAGTCCGGAATGATGATATACGAGATAGAGTTGGGGTAGCGCCAATTGAAGAGAAGCTTGTCCAACATCGTCTGAGATGGTTTGGGCATATCCAGCGCAGGCCTCCAGAAGCTCCAGTGCATAGCGGATGGCTAAAGCGTGCGGAGAATGTCAAGAGAGGGCGGGGTAGACCAAATTTGACATGGGAGGAGTCCGTTAAGAGAGACCTGAAGGATTGGGGTATCACCGAAGAGCTAGCTATGGACAGGGGTGCATGGAAGCTTGCTATCCATGTGCCAGAGCCATGAGTTGGTTGCGAGATCTTATGGGTTTCACCTCTAGCCTACCCCAACTTGCTTGGGACTAAAGGCTTTGTTGTTGTTGTTGTTGTTGTTGTAAGCCCACCTGCTCCGTGAGTGAGACCATATATGTGTTACTAAAAAAAACTAATGAATATCCGTGTGGATGTGCATGTGTTGTGACCAGGTCTAAGCGTACCTATGTAGTTTAGTTTAGTTAAACAACTCAGTTTGCATTATCTCAGAGAGAGACCCATAGCCGCCTTGGTCGTTGGTTTAGACTTTAGACCCATAGCCGCCTCGGTCGGTGGTTTGATCACCATGCGTACACGTAAGGACAAGGTCACAACTAACCAGTTTGAAAATGGTGGTTGATCTAGACCCCACAACGGCAATGTCATCTCTAACTTCTACAACTATTTTCGCAACCATCGTTGGTTGGATGTTAGGACAAGGGTGGATAAGAACATATCTGCTGAGTCGGGGCTTGTGGTGCGCTTGGTGCATCCAATCTCAAAACTGGCATTATTATCGGCCACCGTCATGGTTTGGTGCACTGCTGGAGACGCTCAACGGGGGGAGAGCTTATATTGCCATGAAAGTGTAACTTGTCTAGCTTCATGACTTACCAACCAAAGTTCATCATGAGCAAAATCCTGGAGACGCCGCAGAAACTTAAGTTTTCTAAATCGGCAGAAGCGATAGCAGAATTCAGGCACAAGTTGTCTGCATGTTATTGCAGAAGAAAAGAGAATGAAACGGCAATGCAAATGCAACGTTCTTGGCTTCTTGCTTGGATTGGAAGCACCAGGGGGAGTTGGAGGCGGACATTTCAATTTAGAGAAAAAGTATACTTTTCGTCTCTCAACTCTTGATGAAGTCTAGATTTGGTCCCTCAACTTTAAAACCGGACAACTTGCATCCCCAACTACCGAAACTGGACAAGGTTTGTCCCTGGACTCGGTTTTGACTGGTTTTTGGTGTTGACTCACCCCGGTTTTGACCGGTGCTCACTCATATTCCTGTAATTTTTTTATATCCGTGAACTTTTTGAAATTCACATACACTTTTCAACTCTGCATAGTTTTTCAAGGTCGCGTATTTTTTAAAAAATAAACATAATTTTTCAAATCAGTGAACTATTCTGAAATTCGCGTACTTTTTTCAAATCCGTGATTTTTAACATTTACGTATTTTTTCCAAATCCCGGTATTTTTCCCAAATTTGTGTAAATTTATCAGATCCAAGTGTTTTTCAAAGCCATGAATTGTTTCTGAAATTCGCATACTTATTTCAAATCCACATGCTTTTCAAAGTCCATTTTTTTCAAACCCGTGTTGCTTTTATAATCCATGAACTTTGTATGAAATTCACGTACTTGTTTCAAGTTGAAATAATTTTTAAAATCCACATATTTTGCGCAAAAGAAGTCCATATCCGCATACTTTTTTCAAGTTCGCATAAAATTTTCAAATTCATGAACTCTTTCAGAAAAATGTACTCGAATATGAAAGGTGCATCAATTTTAAAAAATTAAAACTTAAAAAAACTAAGTGAACTTTAAAAAACATATGCATTTTTGAAAAAAATACATGAACTTGGAAAAAAAAGTACGCCGATTTAAAAAAATACACAAAATTTAAAAAGGTTCACGTATTTGAAAAAGGTTAAAACTAGGGTGGGACACCACCAAAACCGGTCAAAACCGTGACCAGGGATGAATCTTGTCCGGTTTGAGAAGTTAAGGGTGCAAGTTGTCCGGTTTTAAAGTTGAGGGACCAAATCTAGACTCCGCCAAGAATTGAGGGATAAACATGACTCGGAACTCTGGAATAAACATGACTCGGAACTCTGTTACAAACAAAGAAGTTGAACAAAGAATTAAAGCAGGCAAACCAACAAGCAGTGCATCGTAATCAATGGTTCAGCATGGGTAAAGTGCCTAGGGGACGTTCTACAAAAAATAGTTGTTCTTGAGTTGCTGCAAACAAGAAGAGAATTCAGATATAAGTGAACAGTCTGCATGAGAGCTTTACGTTGCTGCATAAGTAACACGGATCAAACGGCAACGAAAATAGAGTATTCTTGATCGCATTGGTTGGAATGGAAGCAGCAGAGGGAGTTGGAAGCTGCATTGTTAGCTCCTGCTACCTACAATGCCAGGTGGATTCGGTCTGTGGCACGACTGTCTCGAGTTTGTTGACTTGTGGCAGGCCATTTCGCGGACAACCGTGTTTCCCAACCGCCTTGGCCAAGGTGTGGTCGGCCCACATCGAGCCTAAATGCAAGTTCTTCTTCTGGCTGGTGCTTCATGACCGAATTCTCACTGCTGACATGCTGGCCATCCATGGGTGGCCCCACGACTGGCGATGCCAGCTTTGCTTGCGCGAACCGGAGACTGTGAAACACATATGCATGGATTGTTTTCTGTTGCGGTTTGGGGCCACATTCAGACTTGGACAGGCTGCAACATCACACCGTCCCAACCCCCACCCGGCATTCGTGGGGGTTCAGATTGCCGGTGTCCCCAAGGAGGAAAAATGGTGCTGCAGTGGTTGGCTCCTCTACATGCTATGGAATACCTGGAAAGAATGAAATCATCGCATCTTCATGGGTACGCGTATGACTCACATATTGTGGCAGCGCTCCCCTTCGAGGACATCAACCAGAGGGCAACGGCTTTTGGTCAGACACAAGAGAGTGCAGTGCTGAGGTCTTCCTTGTGCTAATATTTCGAGTAAATAGCATAAAACTACTACTTTACAGGCTATGGTTCTAAAAAACTATCGATTTTTAATTTTTCTCATATAACTACCAAATGAGCGGTCGGCTGTTTCAAAAAACCCAAATTGTCGGGTGCTTATCTATTGACCACGATTATGACATGCCGGAC